TAATACTTCATCTCATATTGATGTCAAATCTTCATCAAATGTCGAAGAAAATGTTTTGTCACGTTTGGCTATGATAGCAAAATCATAATAACGAAACAGTTTCACTAGATGGCGAATATTTAATTATTTATACACATTAGTTCATTTTGTCCCATATATATTTTAGTAAAAGTGGCAATATTTTAATATATTTCATTTTCTTTCCCATAAATTAGGTCCACTCTTAATTTTATATGGTAGAAAAGTTGTTTACAGGAAAACATTTTAATATCATTGTAAAACCACAAGCTTTTTCGGTCCACTCGGAATCTAAAAATGTATACTGCCTCTGTGTTCGATCTGAAACGAATAGGTATTAGAGGTGATTGTAGTATTTTTACTTTTGAGTCGAATTGATAATTTATATATTTATTACAATTATTAAATTAATCAAAAATATGTATCTTCGTCATAAGTGTTTTAATTACATTATTAAATAGATATTATAAATACATGCATTTGAAAATATAAATTTCTAATTGTATTTTTTTTTATTTATCTTATGTTTAATGACCTTTATAATTCGATAACGTACTACAAGCGTGCTGGAGTATTATAAAATATAGTATAGTAAAATAATTAAATAGGCATTATATATTTTCTTTAATAATTTTTGTTTAAAATTGTACCAAATTCCCGTTTTTCCCTGGTTTTTTATATTTGCTGGACAAATTATTGGGAAAATCGAAAAATGACTTCCTTACGGTACAAAACCAGTTAGATTTGCTTTTGGGAAAATTGGCTATCATTGCAAATCAGAACGAAATATTTTACCAATATATTTTATAGATTTACCCGTTTTTTTCTCACTTATTCTCTTTTATTGGGAAAACTGCCGGGAAAATCAAAAACTATTCTCCCTTAAGTACCACCCATAGACAGCTTTCCTTTCAGAAAAAGGGTAGACCTCGAATCGTATATACCACAGTAAGTTTCTGGTAGAAAAAGTGTTCACATTAAAAAAAAAATAATAATCATTATAAAACCAATTCATTTTTCGCCACACTCTATAAAATGGAAAACAATTTTTTATTATATAACAACCAAAATTTAAACGAATCGTGAATATTTGTTATAATCCAACTCTAATTATAGAATTTATGAAGATGAGTTATAATTTTAAAAATTCAATTGCTCTGTTTCCTGTCAAAAATTTGCACCTTCCAAGAGAAATAAAAATGTTCGAAATCTGATCACATTACATATAATCAATAGTTCTCTGAAAATATTTTTTTTAACATTTTGTGCAAAATATAGGTACATTTCCTAGCCCGCCCTCCTCCTTTGATAGTTTTACCATTTGAAAATCAAAAGTAAGTAATGGTTTTACCCTCAAAAATAAGGGTGACAAAAAATAACATAAATATAAAATTATATAGCTGATTTTTTCATAATGTTTCTAGAAAACAAATTCCGGAAAAAGTTAATACTTTCAGAGATAATGAGTGTACCCACTTAAATAAATCACCTGGTATACCTAATAAAATACACTAAAAAAAGGTGCGTTTACGCATGAACTGATTATAGATAGCGTATTATTATTGAAAAACAAATTGATCAAGAACTATGGAAACGGTAATAGTAAGTATCACTGTACTCTTAAATGAATAAATATTTAAATATTAAAAATACAATATTATACATAATTTATATTTTATGATCGTTTTAATTAGGAGTTTCTTACTCTTTTGATAAATTATGGAGTGATTTATTAAAATATTTATTTTCTGTATATCTCTTGATCCTCTGTATAATTTTTGTTAAAAGTAACCCAGGTAATATTCTCGGTATATAAGGGTAATATTTACCAAAGAAAATGAAAACAAAAAATAAATCTAATACAGAGTAATAAATTAAGACAATTCAATATATAATTCCAATTATCTTTATAAATATATAAGATATCTCACAATGATTTACAAATATAAAATAACTGTGTAAATATTTAGATTTTCGGTAATAGATATTTTAATTTCTAAAGAAGAGGTATACTCATAATCTCAGAAAGTATTAACTTTTTTTGGCATTTGTTTTATAGGACATTTAAGAAATAAGCTGTTCTAGAATTTTACATTCATGTTATTTTTTGTCACCTTTTTTTTTTTAGGGGGAGGGGTAAAATCAAAAGTAGGTAGTCGTTTCATTTCTAAAAATTAGGGTTAAAAAATTAACATTAATTTAAAATTAAAGAAGCAACTTGTTGCTTCAAAAAAAAAAAAAAATTGAATAAAGTAAGTACATTCCGTGATATCGAGTATATTTAAATGTATCACTCTGTATTTATAAAAAAAACAAAATATATTATGATATATTATATCAAATGATTAATAATTGTTAACTAGAAAAATATTTTTATATATATTTGATACACATTAATTTTATAATAACTTTTTTGAGTATCGACCACATAAATTATTTGTTAGATATTTACTAAAATTTACAGATCAATTTTTTTTCCGTTTTTAATGATGAAGTAATAAACTATTATTTATTAATTTTCATGTTTAACTGACCCCGGAATAGTTAAAGTTAAATTGGCTGATGATTTAAGCACTCGCGCATTCGAACCGCTCCGAAATTAGAAAAAATTACTCGAATAAGTATTTGATGGGTTTTGTTTTATTTTTATAATGTTACTGTTTTCTTAAATTAAAATAGTAAACAATATCCGACATTGAAAATCGCGTGTTAGTCTATAATTCCCATATTTTACTATCAGACAAATTGTAATTTGCCTACTTGTGTATAACATTTTAACATAATATATTATATTATATTTTTATATTTATTAACGAGTATAAATCAATTTAATTTATTATATTTATTATTTTATTATATTTTTTATGTTTTTATGTTCGTATTTACATTCTTTGGCATTTACAGAATTATTTTAATCGTTGACAATTTGTATTTATGTTATACTATTCTCAAAACTATTAAACAATAATTAAAAAATTAAATTAAATCTTTTTTTATATAGATAAATTCCACGCGTCTGTTATTTGATCTTAGATACTCATAATACAAATATTTATTATCTTTATTTACATCTAAATGGTTTTGGAACAATTGTCTTTTATCTCAGTCCAGATAAATTTTTTTTATCTTCGGCTCAACACTGCTTATTTATAACATTTTAACCTAATAACTCTCATAGTATATCTATACGTTTAAAAAAAAAGATAACGATTAAGTCGGTGGTGAAAATGTAAACTTAAGTTGATATATGTATACAATATGCATACTAACCTATACATATTAATATTATGTATATAAGTTCGAATACTACAGTCGACGTTTTAAACATAATAATATTGTACGATTATGAAATACAACTAATTCGAACTTCTGGCATAAATAATGTTTTCAAATCCAAGCACAGGACAATCTTATTACGAGTAAAAAGAGCAGAGTATAAATACAATGTATTAATCAGGGCCTGTATTGAACCCACACAATGCCCTTTTTCCCTATCCTAAGGTCTGTATTTGATTTCAGTGTAAACATTATGAATATCTTTTAAACACATCTGTGTATCTATTAGATCAAAATTTTAGAATAATATCTAACAGAAATTAGGTATTTTGAAAAAAACCAGAAAAATTTTTTTATTGTTTCATAAATGCCGTAGCAAAATGTAGAAAAATGATGACCTTATTTTTGAAGTTGTAGCACAATGCGCATGTACTAACTTGTAGGTTATAAATTATGATTTATGACTAGCGAATACTAACAATGTCATACTAGCTATACTAACAAAACGAATAAAGTGTGTTGGTTTTTAAGAGTTAATATTTGTTTTTGAAAATGATATAAGTATAAGGATCATATAAGAAGTAATATTGAAACGAGATTCAAAAGATGTATAAATTTATAAACCATTAAATTATTATAAAATATATATAAATTAAATTTACTTAATTTCTTACATAAAAATTAGTCGCACAATGCTATTTTGTAAAATTTTTCTAAGTATTTATTTTTGCATTTCGTTCACGTTTGGCTGTAATTATACAAACGATGAAATGGTTCTATTGAAAACATTTTCCAGTTCNAATAAGTTTTTCGATGATGTAAGTAATTTATTTATATACAATCCGAAAAAGTTTTTACAAAAAAATCAATTGTACGAGACGAAATGGGTTAATCAATATAAAAATGATTACAAAGAGGAAAGAATAAAATACGGAGTTGGGCTTAAAATGTGTAATTTGTTCGCAACTCATATTCAATGTTCACAGGCAATAACTGCTTACAGGTTTGTGAGAACGATAATGGACAATATTAAACTTATCAAAGGTAATAATGATAATAAAGAAATATTGGGCTATGTAAAAACTGTGGGATTGACATATTATGGTAATGTCACGGAATTAATGGACATGATGTACGTATTGGGCTATGTACCACCCAAATATATGGTCTTGTCCTCTTTATATTCAAAGGAGGTGGCAGATAAGGCTAATTTAGTATCTTTTATGGCGAAGTTCTTTGACGATAATTTAAATAATATGGGCAATGTTGCAATGGATACTGCAAAGAAATTCATTAAACAATGCGATGCAATACTGGAAGATGGTATCATAGACAGACTATCCACTGAACACGTCTACCCTATTTCTGACTTTAATAAATATCTATATACAATTCATCAAAATTTAAATAATGCCAAACAAAATTTAGTAAAAATTAAAGATTCCAACCGTTTTAACACCGAAAATTGGATTCTGAACGAACTGTTTACGAACAAAGAATCCCTGAACATGTTTTTCTGGACGCAGGCGACTTACCTCAACATTGATTGGAATAAATTACAAACAAAGCTCATTAATACGTACACGCTTACACAGAAAGCCGACTGTAAGCTGAACATTTACAATAACAGCAGAAGAGAAGACAGCCACCAAAATAAGTTAAAACAGGTGTATCGGACCGTGGTTAATCGGTACATATTGATCGTGGTCCTCGATTGTAATTACCTACACGACAAAGTAATGGAATCGAAAGAAAAATTGGAAACAACTTGTAGAAGAATCGAAACAGTTATCAATGGTGCGATAAATTTCCTCCAGGAGGACGTATTTCTGACAGAGCTGCTGCCTGTCGTACAAAAGTTCATCAAAGAAGGTAGCGTTCGTACATGGGATGTCTTTAACATGATTACTTTGGAATTGAGCAGTTTGTCTACAATATTGGAAGTGGAGGCCGGCAATGCGTATATACCGGATGAAGTACTCACAGTTGAAAATGGTTTCGAGATGATAAACGTACATTTAGACGAGGCAATAAAATATACTGAAACACTTAAAGGCTCGTTTGCGGATCAATTCTTCGACGTTATCAACGTTATACAGAGTTCTGTCAACAACGAATGGATGATGTCCACCAAAACCATAAAGAAAGAACGAACAGAGTTATTGATACCAAATTTTGAGCAGGGAAATAAACCTGCATCCTGAGAACCACCACGTCCAGGATTGGCGACATTCACGAAAGGTTTGACATGTCGATTCGGTGGGTAAGATTGTTTCAAATTATAAAGAAAATAATATGCACATAAATTATCAGCCTAATTTGTAAGTAAATATAGTAAATATATCAAGACTAATATCTGCCTCGGACCGAACACTGACCTTGTAATAATCATTTATTAAAAACATTTTCCTCGTCTGTATGGCCGATATCACACTGAATACTGCCGCCTCATACTTGCGTTACAAAAAAAGAGTTATTTTACATGTAGTAAATTCAACATGCATAGTACGCTAACTTCCTTTCTGTCTTAGAACACTCAATTTTCTATAGTTTATAATTAGGACATAATTAGCATGGAGTTTTTTGAACATTTTCAAAATTTGTACAAAACGTAAACTTGAAAATATTTGGAACGTAATAATAATGTATTTGTACGCAACTCTTTTATCGAGAAAATCAATTTTTTTAAAATATGTACTTAATTTATAGGAAAATGGAGTTATTGTTCTCAAGTTTATTATATCGTAGATTAGATATATTGTTAAAAATTAATAAATGTAAAATAATATAATATTCTAAACTATACATTTTTTTCTTTTTGTAAACATTCGCACTTATGGCACCGATGTACTATATCGTCAGATTATTTAGTAATAGTTTTGTATCTAAAAAATACGATTTTATGTTATTTTTGAATCAAATAAATGATAAAGCATCGTTTTAAACCACGGTAACTCACAAATAATAATTTATTCTGCAATGAAAGTATTGAAGAACATGAAGACCATGTATTAGGATAAATATAATGAATAAAATGTTATTCACTTTTCTTGAAAATCGGCCATTTTAAAGTTATAACTTTTATGATTTAGTTNGTACTGTATCTTTCCAGTTCGCAATATCCATCCTCACTAAGTCTTCCTCTAATCAATCGAGCAATCTCTTTTTTAATCTGCCTCGTGGTGTCTTCTCTTAAAGTACGTATTGAAGAGTAGCTCGTAATGGCCTCCTTTCTTTTCGACCAGGAGCGGATTGGGAAAATATTTTGGTGCTGAAAAATAGTAAAGAAACTTACGCGAGAGGTTGTTGTAAATGATGTTGAGTTACAACCATAACATTTTTAAGTTTCTAACACAACATTTTTAAACTATCATAAAATAACTAATTTATTATGAGTAATGTAGACTGGGGTATAATGGCGCACTTTTAACAGCTGTTATGTGATTGTATAGGTTCACGTTTTCGACATCTTGTTATGTTGTTATCCTATTATACAAATAACGTTAATTGTAATTTTCGAGTCAAAAGTTAATTTTACCAAAGTAAATGTCGAAAATTCTAAGCAATTAGAAATAATTATAATGAATGCGTCCTTTTACCCTATGATTAGAGTAAAAAGGCGCATGCTAAATTAATTCACAGAAATCTATTTTATCTAAAGATTATTCAAATAACATGTAATTTGGTTATCATTTTATTCGGTATTAATCAATAAATAAAGAAAAAAAACTAACTGTAAAATAAACAACTAGTAACTATATTCAACATCTTGTTATAAAAATTATAATCAAATCAGTACAATTAATACTTCATCTCATATTGATGTCAAATCTTCATCAAATGTCGAAGAAAATGTTTTGTCACGTTTGGCTATGATAGCAAAATCATAATAACGAAACAGTTTCACTAGATGGCGAATATTTAATTATTTATACACATTAGTTCATTTTGTCCCATATATATTTTAGTAAAAGTGGCAATATTTTAATATATTTCATTTTCTTTCCCATAAATTAGGTCCACTCTTAATTTTATATGGTAGAAAAGTTATTTACAGGAAAAAATTTTAATATCATTGTAAAACCACAAGCTTTTTCGGTCCACTCGGAATCTAAAAATGTATACTGCTTCTGTGTTCGATCTGAAACGAATAGTTATTAGAGGTGATTGTAGTATTTTTACTTTTGAGTCGAATTGATAATTTATATATTTATTACAATTATTAAATTAATCAAAAATATGTATCTTCGTCATAAGTGTTTTAATTACATTATTAAATAGATATTATAAATACATGCATTTGAAAATATAAATATCCAATTGTATTTTTTTATTATATATCTTATGTTTAATGACCTTTATAATTTGATAACGTACTACAAGCGTGCTGGAGTATCATAACAATGATTCTTAAAAATACCGTGAAGAAATATATTAAAAGGCCAACATACTTCTCACGATGGCTGCAGCCACCGTTGTTGGCGAGAAGTCAAATAGGTAGGATACAGAAGGGAATTGAATGTATATCTGTAAGCAATTATAAACCATTTCTAACGAAAAAACGATTCTGAGCGGTGTTTAGTTGATAGTGATACTTTTTCAATAATATAATAAGAATCATATAATGGTAAAATAATTAAATAGGGATTATATATTTTCTTTAATAATTTTTGTTTAAAATTGTACTTATTCCCGTTTTTCCCCGGTTTTTTATATTTGTTGGAAGAATTATTGCTAAAATCGAAAAATGACATCCTTAAAGTACATTCCCAGTAAGATTTGCTTTTGGGAAAATTGGGTATCATTGCAAATCGGCAGAAAAAGTGTTCACATAAAAAAAAAAATAATAATCTATATAAACCAATTAATTTTTCTCTACACCCTAAAAAACGTATTCCTCACATTATTAGGTGGGAATCAATTTTTGATTATGTAACAATCAAAAATTAAACGAATTGTGAATATTTGTTATATTCCAACTCTCATTATAGAATTTATGAAGATGAATTATAATTTTAAAAATTCAATTGCCCTGTTTCCTGTCAAAAATTTACACCTTCCAAAGAAATAAAAATATTCGAAATCTGATCACATTATATATAATCAGTAGTTTTCTGTAATATTTTTCTTATCATTTTGTGCAGAAAAAAAAAAAATAAAAATCACAGGACTTTTGTCACATTTTTAGTGAAATTTTTTAGATATTTTTATTGCAATAATGTGATCACTAACTTTTTTCACCTTTTGAATGCAATTAAAGTTGATCGCTATTGATAAACATGATTCAAGACATCGTAAATATTGCAGTTATTTCGTAATTGTTTTAGAAAAATATAATAAATGCAATATAAATACATAAATGAGAGGCTTGGACCAACATTTAGATAAATTCTTTTTTTTTCGAAAATTCAATTAATAAAATAACGTACATTTAGGTGCAACAACCAGTTAAATCCGATAAATATTTTTAATTATACAAAGGAATTTAATTTAGCTTGTCTTTATTTTTGATGCAATAACCAGATGAATCCAGATTATATTAGTGAGGATTTGAAACAGGAAGGGCATTATAAAGTCTATTTTATGCGTATTAAATATAACTAGAAAATGTATGATGACTTGGAGAACAAATTAGTACCATTAAAGTCGAAAACGACAGTCCAATGTGAATATGTTTTGCATACAGTCTAAATAAAAATGTATGCTATTTTATCAATATTATTTGATTTGATTTAATTTATTTAACATATATTATGATTATTGTTTTTTTTTTTTTTTGCAAGTTATATAACTTATTTTATTACTACTACACGATAAGCTTTTTTAAACAAAAATTGTGTGTAAACAATCTCTACAAACGAAAATAATAAAGTTACAAAACAATACAAACGAGTAGTTAAAAGGTTGTTTAAAAATATCCAAAGGGTGGGGGAGAGGTGGTCAGAGAAATGTACCTCAAAATAATAGTATTGAATAAGAAAAATATCTCTAACTGTCTAAAATAAATCATTATCAGATTTACAATGCCATTATAACATAGTACAAGTACAGTATGAGTGTATGGGCCGGGAGCTAGACTTAAAAGACTTAAATATTTCGCGTAGCCCGGACACCAGATTCTTCGCGCGCTTTCCCCACCGTCCAAGATCGTGTATTTGTGTGTGTGCGTGTAACTTAATATTAGGAAAAATAGTACAAAGTGGTTACAAAAATATTGGTAATTACGCTCTTTTTATTAATAATAATTTAATAATTTAGAATAATAAATAGTAAAAAATTCACACATCTAATAGAATAGTTAGTTAGTGGGTAATAGACCGTTATGAAAATAAATTGATAAATTGTATAATATGATATAACACAAAAATATATATACAACAGTGTAATATAACAAGAAACAATAATAAATAATAAATAATAAATAATTTACTCACGGACAATGAAGTGCAGACTGGCCAGCCGCCGACTAAACCTATATTTACCTAATATTAACGGAAAAACAACTCACAGATTATAATTTACAATATAACATACTACATAAGACGACAAAATGGTAACGCTAATGGTAATTGACGGTGTGTCGCTAATGTTACGGACGAGACGTTTCCGAATTAATACGGTTGTTAGACGTAGGCACGTATTATTTGCTACGGATTGCTGTGATGCCTATCGAAGCCCTTGTCCTAGGAGCCTAGAGTCCGTCGGAGCCACTGTTCGATATGGCACGCAAAAACAACAAAAACTTTTTACCGAAACGTAAAATTCGCGAACCGTGTGTGTGTCGAACGGGCAGCCAGAACAGTACGATATGAGCAAAAGTTGCGTATTATTCACATAATTACACAAAAAGATAAGACATAAAAATAATAATAACACAATTACAGAACATAAACTTACTAAAATTATACATATACGTGGTAGTGCGTGTGCGCGTGACTGGCAGATAATTGCCAATTAATAGCGGCCTTGACCGTCAAAACCGGCCCGCACATTCTAATTAAAATCCATCGTGGCGGCGACANATGATATCAACTAGATAATTTATCTTATAACTTAATAATAAAAACATGACAAACATATTATTTAAAGCGTATACGGCGATTTTTTTTGTTGCATATAAATCTATCACCTCTTTGATATACTCCATGGGTGGATCTTCATCGCCTTCTATACTAATTTTCATACAATATTGAAGAGTATCTTGCTCCATTCGGTTGCGAAGTTTCGTCATAATTCTATTCATTGCACTAAACCTTTCCACTGTGGCTGTTGCAATTGGAACACAGCAAATGGATTTTGCTAATTTTTTTAGGTGTTCATAACCAATATTAGCTTCAAGGAGGTTAGTTATTGGACATTTTTGGGTTTCTACATTCCGTAAAGCTACAAATATAAACGACTTATAATCTGATAAAACTCCATCTTTTTCGTTTTCATTTAAGGAGAAGCAATTACACAACTGTTCTATTATTTTTATTGACGAATTTGAAAATGACCTGTAATTTTCAAATATTGAGCATCCTTCAATAAGTGTTAAAGCAGTATCATTGAATCGACGATTCATTTCTTTTATGGTTTGTTCTAAAAAATTTGAAAGACAAGATAAAGTTTCTTTGAAACAATCTTTTTTTCTTGATGAATTAAGTTGATTTGAAATATCTGTAGCATTTTTAATAATACTACTTTTGTTCACAACATCTTGTTTCAAACTTTCTAAAATATTATTTAAATGCCATGCAGTACTTTTAATTAATGCAGGTGAACTTGAAATAACAATTTTAGGACCTTGCAATGTTAAGCTTAAATTTTAGATTGCGCCTAATATTTCATCCAATCCACACAAAAGTATTATAAAACTTTCTTCACGGAGACTTAGTAAAATTCCACCTGCTAAAGACGCTAAATCCGCCCCGTCTTGATGAGTGTGTTCACAAGTAGTAACTATAGCAATGTAGGACTGTTTAATTGCATGAACTATTTTATAATGACTTAATAATCGAATTTCCATTGCCTCAGGTATTTTTAATATTGGATGATTCAATATAACTTGTACTTTTTGAAGCATTTCTTCTCGTTTTGGAGATTGATGAAATAGTTTATAAATATCTTTTAAAACATGAAATACGCGTTTAATTTTAGGAAACTTGTTGCGCATACTAGTTAATGCAAGTGCTAATATATGGGCTCGACCATGTAAATAAGGTATTTCCCTTCCTGTTTTTTCAGAAATAAATCTACGAACTCCGCCTTTACTTCCAGACATGTTTGACGCCACATCAAAACCACAAGCAATAATATTATTATATGATAAATTGTGCTTAATTAACTCGTTGCTTATCGCCTCTACGATTGTTTGAGCTTCGGTATCGGATAGAACAACAATATTAAGAAATCTCTCAATTGGTTGGTTATTAATAACAAAACGAACACATATAGATAATTCAGATTTATTATTTATATTTGTACTTTCATCGGCCAATTAAGAAAATTTTTTACTGTGAATTTCCTTGTCTAACTAAGCATCTAAAATTTCTGAAGCGCAACATAAAAGCTCACTAGCTGTAGATTTACTCATATATGTTGAACGATCATTATTTGCATCGATCAAATTTTGAAGTGAACCGCTACTTTTCATAAGTAATCGTTTAATTAATGGCTCATATTTAGTTGTATGAGCAATCTTTTTTTTCACCAAAAAATAAACAGATCGAAAAAGATGTGAATTTGTTCTATAAATTTTACATTCTTCAAAAATTTGACTTACAATTTGATTATAAACAGGGTTTTTTAAAGCTACCAAAGCAAGTTTTTCTAATACTATAGATATGTGATACAGAATATGTGTGTTTATTTAATTTACCATATTTTCCTAATGCTTTTTTATAGTTTATGAATGGTGTATTAACAAATTTCCTCCTGAGCTTGCAAATACCGCTGAACTGTTAAATAAATTTTTTTCATATAATTTACAAAAAGCACCGTTACGTTGTTTATCAAAATAAAGCCAAGGATAATCTATTTCCCATTTAGTTTTATAGAATCGTTTTTCATTACCTTTTATTGATAAACTAGCCGATGTAACGGCTTGATTTACGAATGTAGATTCTGTAGATTCTATAGTTTTGGTTTTTTGGATGGTAAAAAAAAATCTTATATTGATCGTTTCGACATTTTAAAATAATAATTTAATAAATTACGAAATGACTAAAATACTAAAATACAAAGAATTATAGTATAGGTAACTAGTATTCAATAATATATTACTTAAGCTATGTTAATAATAGTGCATTCGTGATTTTTCAGCTGTACAGCGTTGACTAATCGATAGTGAACAACTGTCTAGAATGTAGACAAATAATCAAAGAAAATAATAAGTAATAATAAACGTAGACGGTCACCTAATAATCATTATCAATATATGGTATTTCCAATCATATCACATGATAATATACTTGACCGTCCATGTAAACATTTATTAAACCAGTCAAATTTTTTTATTATTTAATATTTCAATCAATAAAATTGTATTTATAACCACATTTAACAGGGGGGCTAAAATTTCTCCAGGAGGGGCGGTCACCCCCCCTGGAGTTTACCTGGATTCAACACTAAGTATGAGGGGGACAGGCTCTCCCAATAATTTGACATGGTTGGAATTTGTTCTTTTATTGTACATTTTTGGCTTTTATACTCTGTTCTTTTTACTCGTAATAAGATTGTCCTGTGCTTGGATTTGAAAACATTATTTATGCCTACGGACTCAACAGAAGTTCGAATTAGTTGTATTTCATAATCGTACAATATTATTATGTTTAAAACATGTTTAAAACAGGGGGTACAAGGAAAAAACCTCTACGTGGTGTACCCCAGGCAACGTCTATAACGGCTAATTTTTCCAAATCCAGGCTCATATGATCTCTACAAAACAAGATAAAAAACGGCCCTTCTCAGGGCCAGCACTGACGATCGCCTCATGTAACATTGAGGGTATAAACTCAAATAAGGAAGAACTGCTTGCTGACTTATGTAAAGAATATTCATGTGACGTGTTATGTGTGCAAGAAACACATAGGAGTGAAAATATGAATAATCCAAGAATCAATGGGATGAAGCTCGTTGCAATACGCCCACACAGGAAGTATGGAAGCGCTATATTTGTTCGTTCCTCAATTGATGTAACGACAAGCCAAATAACAGAGATAGACGACATTGAGATTCTCACTATANATAGTAAAATATGGGAATTATAGACTAACACGCGATTTTCAATGTCGGATATTGTTTACTATTTTAATTTAAGAAAACAGTAACATTATAAAAATAAAACAAAACCCATCAAATACTTATTCGAGTAATTTTTTCTAATTTCGGAGCGGTTCGAATGCGCGAGTGCTTAAATCATCAGCCAATTTAACTTTAACTATTCCGGGGTCAGTTAAACATGAAAATTAATAAATAATAGTTTATTACTTCATCATTAAAAACGGAAAAAAAATTGATCTGTAAATTTTAGTAAATATCTAACAAATAATTTATGTGGTCGATACTCAAAAAAGTTATTATAAAATTAATGTGTATCAAATATATATAAAAATATTTTTCTAGTCAACAATTATTAATCATTTGATATAATATATCATAATATATTTTGTTTTTTTTATAAATACAGAGTGATACATTTAAATATACTCGATATCACGGAATGTACTTACTTTATTCAATTTTTTTTTTTTTTTGAAGCAACAAGTTGCTTCTTTAATTTTAAATTAATGTTAATTTTTTAACCCTAATTTTTAGAAATGAAACGACTACCTACTTTTGATTTTACCCCCCCCCCCCCAAAAAGTGACAAAAAATAACATGAATGTAAAATTCTAGAACTGCTTATTTCTTAAATCGGCGGGCCGGATAAGTGGCGACGTTGGATCTGCGGATGACGTGGCGGTTTTCGTGGATGGATCGGCGGCGGTAGAGAAGGACGAGGAGAGGGCGGCCTCGCGTCTCCACCACGTCAAGTCTCGGCGATCCAAGGCGGTTGTATCTTCACGTGTAGCAGAACCGGGTCGTATGTGAGGTCTGCAGGCACGTCGTGTTGCTGATGTCTCCGTCCCGTTTGCAGTCGACGAGCGTCGCGGTGCTTCAGTTCCACGACCGCGGTCGCCGTCGCCATCGGGTGAACGACCCGTGTAGATCTTCAGCATCCGACCGTTGCACTTGACAGCCAGCGCGACCAGTACGCCCTGCAGTGAGTGGCCTACGTTGTACGCGATCTATGCGACCGAGTGGACGGCCGGCAAACTGTTCCGAGCCACGTACCCGAACGCGTTGACCGCGCTCAGCAGCGCGTGCGATCTTCATGTAAAGGTGCAGTTGCAGCACGCGTTTCCGGTGCATCACCAGCCGGGTCTTTTTGTTTAATTTTTATTTAATAAATTATAAAAACGAAGTAAAATAATTGGAAGTAAATAATTCATTTTTTTTATCTGTGAACAACTTATAAACTTGCAATTTTGCTCCGATTTTCAATTGTAGCACTTTTTCTAAAAGAAAATCTAACTGTGGTGGTACTTTACGAGGCCATTTTTTGAGTTTCCCAGCAGTTTTCCCAATAAATGGGAAAAATCGAGAAAAAACGAGAAAATATATGAAATGTATTAGTAAATAATATAGCCTTTGGCTTCGACGTAAAGTATTTAACCAATTCAAATAATTAAAAAAATAAGTTTGTTTTGTAATAATAATAATAATCATTAATCACCTTAGTCGTTATCGAATTAGGTTTGGTATTTTTAAGGGTGAGCGTTGTGCAGGTAATTTTAAATTTTTATGAATAGCAGGGTGTCAAGGGACAAAAGGGATTAACAGTTCATCCTAAAGATTGACGGTTATTCCAAAATATTTCGAGACAGGTTAACCGTATTATTAAATTCAAATTTAACTATGTAAAACTCTTAATAAAAGAACTTCCTACCCGGGATGAAAGAAAGTTAAGAAACCAATCTTATCTGATTCCCAGAATAACGAAAACATATTATAATTACCACAAATAATAAATGTACAATTTGGAATGGGGAATCTATAGACTTAATAGCTGATGGGTGATTTAAATAAACCTGTAAATCGCTATTAGGTATATTAAACACAGCACAAAAAATCATTACAAGATCGAAACTTGATATTTAAAGTATTTAAAGTATACCTACGTTAAGTAGAACGGAATTAAAAGGATTTTTAATGGCGATATGGACACTACCACCACGACAAAGAAAACTAGTTAATTCGTTTTTAATACATCGAAGTATATTATACTGAGTAAAACTTAATTCACAATCAAAATAAGTATTATTTAACCATGTCTCTGTACTAAGGACCACAAAATCAAATGCAAAATATGGTAATGCACATTTCAATAAATTCAATTTCGTTCGTAGACGATGAACATTTTGGTTATTTTGCTCGATCTAGGATATTTTAATAGCCATCGAACAATATACACGATTGAGCAAATTTCTCATACACTATTCATATATATATATATATATATAGTAATTTACACGGCTGCGCAAGATTTTAAATGCAACGTTAACATAACTTATTAGTTATACGTGTTAACATATTAGTTAAACGACCTCAGTGTAAGACATAACAACAGTCAACGGAATGAATGATAATTTTTACATATTTTAAGACGACTATGGTTATGAACATTGATAATAATTTTTTTTTACAGTTAATAATTTTTTATCATTATTTCAAGTACTTAATTTGAAATTAATAGTATAGAAATTAAGAGAACTATTTTTGAGTATTATTACTAATAACAAAAATAAAAAATAAAAGAAACGATTATAATAGATGTATATTAAAAGTTATTTTAAAACAATAGTTTTCGTTAGTTTGTTAGTAAAATTCAGTATTAAATATATATATATATATTAGCTATACAATTATAAAAAAAAATTATAACGATTTTCCCTGATATCTGTTGCCAGTTAGTGACAAATAATGGAGTAAATTGTTTTTGGATGCACACAATTTATATCTATTATGTGCCCTTATAGTTGCTTCAATGAGTGTTGTATTTGTAAAAGTCACCTTTTTTACTTCGTCATTAGAAACTGTGTTTTTTTTACTTCTGTTTCAGACTGCGTTTCTAATAAAACAGTTAATACTAAATCAATCGTTTAAAGATTTCACACAAAACGGGATTTGTAATATATTATGATGTTTTAGTAATATCTAAATGTAAATATTTATTTATACATGGCAACGTTTCATTTAAAATCATGCGCAATCGTATATATCTACGAAAAATTTGTGTATGTATTTCGATAGCTATGAAAATATACACGATTAAGCAAATATTATTCAATCGTTCTTCACCAATAATTTAATGTATACCTGTAAGCGATAAACCATTGCAACGAAAAAACAATTCTGAGGAGAGTTCGGTTAATAGTATTGCACTGTCAATTGATAATGACGCTTTTTCAACAATATAATGTCATATTATAGTAAAATAATTAAATAGGCTTTATATATTTTCTTTAATATTATTTGTTTAAAGTTTGTCCGATTTCCCATTTTTCCTATGTTTTTTCCCAGTATTTCACATTTGTTGAGAAAACTCTTGAGAAAATCAAAAATGACCTCTCTAAAATAGTAAAGTACCTCTACAGTAAAATTTCCTTTTAGAAAATTGCAGTTATTAACAGTTAGAGCAAAATTGCTAGTAGAAAAAATGTCCACAGGAAAAAAAAATAAAAACCTTTTTAAAACCTTCTACGCTTTTACGCTCCACTCAAATGTTAATACTCTGATACATGAAAAATTAATTATTAAAAACTTTTTAATCGTATAAATACCAAAAATATAAAGGATACCATAAATAAAAAAATGTACTACTTCTTTTTTTATAGAATGGGAAGGGGCCCTCATAATCTAAGGGCCCTGCGCTCGTGCACCATGTGCACATGCGTAAATCAGGGTCTGCATTGAACCCATACGATGCCCTTTTCCCTAGCCTCGGGTCTGTTGTTGAATTCAGTATAAACACTATAAATATCCTTTAGACGTATATTAGATCAACGTTTTAGAATAATATCTAACAGGAATTAGCCATTTTGGAAAAAAAGGAGAACATTTTTTTTATTTATTACATAGATGCCCTAGCAAAATGTATAAAAATGATGACCCTATTTTTGAAGTTGTAACACAATGTGCATGTACTAATTCGTCGGATATAAATTATGATTTATGACTTGCGAATACTAACAATGCCATACTAGGTATAATAACAAAACGAATAAAGTGTGTTGGTTTTTAAAAGTTAATATTGGTTTTAGAAAATGACATAAGTATAAGGATCATATACGAAGTAATATTAAAACGAGATTCAAAAGATTTATCAATTTATAAACCATTAAATTATTATAAAATATATATAAATTAAATTTACTTAATTTCTTATATAAAAATTAGTCGCACAATGCTATTTTGTAAAATTTTTCTAAGTATTTATTTTTGCATTTCGTTCACGTTTGGCTGTAATTATATAAACGATGAAATGGTTCTATTGAAAACATTTTCCAGTTCCAATAAGTTTTTCGATGATGTAAGTAATTTATTTATATACAATCCGAAAAAGTTTTTACAAAAAAATCAATTGTACGAGACGAAATGGGTTAATCAATATAAAAATGATTACAAAGAGGATAGAATAAAATACGGAGTTGGGCTTATAATGTGCAATTTGTTCGCAACTTATGTACAATGTTCACAGGCAATAACTGCTTACAGGTTTGTGAGAATGATAATGGACAATATTAAATTTATCAAAGATAATAATGATAATAAAGAAATAGTGGGCTATGTGAAAAGTGTGGGATTGACATATTATGGTAACGTCACGGAATTAATGGACATGATGTACGTATTGGGCTATGTACCACCCAAATATATGGTCTTGTCCTCTTTATATTCAAATGAGGTGGCAGACAAGGCTCTTTTAGGACCCATGATGGTGAAGTTCATTGACGATCATTTATATAATATGGGCAATGTTGCAATGGAAACTGCAAAGAAATTCATTAAACAATGCGATGTAAAACTAGAAGATAATATCATGGACAGACTATCCACTGAAAACGTCTACCCTATTTTTGACTTTAATAATTATCTATATACAATTCATCAAAATTTAAATAATGCCAAACAAAATTTAGTAAAAATTAAAGATTCTAACCGTTTTAACACCGAAAATTGGATTCTGAACGAACTGTTTACGAACAAAGAATCCCTGAACATGTTTTTCTGGACGCAGGCGACTTACCTCAACATTGATTGGAATAAATTACAAACAAAGCTCATTAATACGTACACGCTTACACAGAATGCCGACTGTAAGCTGAACATTTACAATAACAGCAGAAGAGAAGACAGCCACCAAAATAAGTTAAAACAGGTGTATCGGACCGTGGTTAATCGGTACATATTGATCGTGGTCCTCGACTGTGATTATCTGTACAACAAAATCAAGGTTACGAAAGAAAAATTTAGAAGAACATGTACAAAAATCGAAATATTTATCAATGGTGCGATAAATTTCCTCCAGGAGGACGTATTTCTGACGGAGCTGCTGCCCTTCGTACAAAAGTTCATCAAAGAAGGTAGCGTTGGTGCGTGGGATGTCTTTAACATGGTTATTTCGGAATTGACCAGTTTGTCTACAATATTGGAAGTGGAGGCCGGCAATGCGTATACACCGGATGAATTACTCACGATTGAAAATGGTGTCGAGATAACAAACGTACATTTAGACGAGGCAATAAAATATACTGAAACACTTAAAGGCTCGTTTGCAGATCAATTCTTTGACGTTATCAACGTTATACAGAGTTCTGTCAACAACGAATGGATTATGTCCACCAAAACCATTGAAAAAGAACGAACAGAGTTATTGATACCAAATTTTGAGCAGGAAAAAAAACTTTTATCCGCAGAACCGCCATCTGCAGGATTAACGAGGTCATTCTCGAAAAGTTTGTCAAGTCTTTTCGGTAGATAAGATTGTTACATATTATGAAGAAAATAATATGTACATAAATTATCAGCCTAATTCGTAAGTAAATATATTAAATATATCAACACTAATATCAGTTTCGAACCTGGTATTAACCTTGTATTAATTATATTTTTAAAAAAATTGTCCTCTTCTGTATGGCCGGTTCCACATCAAATACCGTCGCTTATACTTGCGGTATAAGAAAAGAAATATTTTGGAGGTAGTAAATTCAATATGTAAATACGCTAGCCTTCCTTTTATCTTAGAACACTCTTTTTTTTTTATAATATATTATATGTAAGTATTTGGAATAGGATTATATAATCATTAACAAAATTTGTAATTACTTAAACAATGTTTAAACATGCAAATAGTTAGTACGTAATAAAAATAAATTTGTACGCAATTCTTTCATTGGGAAGAACAGTCTTTTAAATCTCTATTTAATTTATAGGGAATTGGAATCATTTTGGTGTATTTTGCTCACCAGTTCCAAGTAAATCATTTTTCAAATATCGTAATGCTATTTCAAACTATAATTAATACAGCTATTTTTAGGGCCACGAATATCTTAAAATTAGCTTAAAATAGCTTAAAAAATATCTAATTGTATCTTTTTTATTATCGAAGCATAATTTTTCCAACTACACAATACTGTTTCTTTACTACGAATAAAATGTGTTTTTGAACTTTTTCGTTTTAGGATACTAATGCTTAATCGTAATATTGTTCGTTTTGGAGTTGTTTCTCAGTAGTAAGCTTTACTAGAAAATCATAATAATAGAATTGATTGGTAATAAGAATATGGCCGATTTTTAAAGCTATTATTCTTTGCAATATTTCCATTGAAAGAAGCGTGGAATGTATTGGTTTTACGATGATGTATTATTTTTCAAATTTTTTTTTATACTTTGTGTACATTAACTATCACAAATCATGCTCCAATGTTTTAAGCGCAGCACTTTTCCCGAAAGGAAATTTTATCTAGTTGGTTTTTTACGGAGGTCATTTTTTGATTTTCCAAGTGGTTTTCATAATTATTGGGAAAGTTTTGGAATAAACATAGGTAATTAAGGGCAAATGTACAAAAGTAACGGTTTTTACCCGAAATCAAAAAATGTGGTTCTCAATTCGACTGTATGTATATTTTTTGTTTGTTTTGCCTATCGGGCGAATTATGTCTACCCTTTTTTTAGATTTTCTTTTATATGGGATTTTGATGTGTTTTGTTTGCGAACATTACCTTTTACATATTTAAAGACTTAGGACTTAAAGTTAATAAAATCTGTTATGTTTTAAGATTTTTCGTTTTTTTTTTTTTTTTTAACAAATAAGTTCTATGTTATAAATGTAAAATGATATAATATTTTAAACTTTATATTCTTTTATTTTTTAAATATTCTAAATAGAAATTATTAATAAATAGTCAATTTACAAAGAACATTTTTAAACATTTATATGTATTTAATACGTATATGTATGATTAATTGGAATTATTATACTATAATACTCGTAATCGAGCGTCGGCCTGTCTGCTTGAAATGGGACAAACAACAAAAATAATCCGGAACACGATTATAATACAGGAAGTCTCATGTGATGAGTGCATACCTACACACAGCAAATATTATACAGGTATTAATTTACAAATTAAAAATTAATTCAATTATAAGGCTATAATTAATGTCATATTGTCATTGTACGATATTGTTAAAATTGGCCGAGGTATCATTACCAATGTAGTGATAACTTAACCTTTAACAGGGCTGGCACTGTACATCTAGCTGTTTTGTACTATATCGTCAGAATAATGATTTGTCAAAAACATTTAATATGTCATATTAAAATGGTAAAATAATTAAATAGGCATTATATATTTTCTTTAATAATATTTGTTTAATATTGTACCGATTTTCCTGTTTTACTACATTTTTCCCGGTATTCCCATGTTTTGTACCATATAGGTTTTATACATATACAAGCATATAATTGTTTTCAGTTAACAAAATTACATTTCATATTTTCTACTAGAATATATGATAATCGCATTATAACAATACAAAATAATCGCATAAAATAATAGTTAATTTTCTTGTAACTCAACTATTATTCATTGTGTTTCATAAATTGACATCTTTCGATAACTTTGTATATTATAGTGCTAAGATCATTGGAGGTTGCACAAATTACAAATTCTTGATTATATTTTAAAACAAAATTAATTTGAGAATTATATGGCGAAATGGGACAGTGGGCGAAACGGGATTATATTGGTGATGAAATAAAATGGCGAAAAAATAGGAAATAATCTTTGAAAATGATATAGGGGTTAATAGAACTTCGTGGTTATGTATACAATTAATCGACAAGTCATACCGAATGTTACGAAAACTGGATATTAGTGCCGTACCTAGCATAATCAGAGCTCGGTGCGATGATATCCCCAAATAAAAATAGAACTTAACATCTGATAGTATTTTTTTTCTTGTTAATCTAATTTTTCAGTAATATTACTTAGATTATAAAAAGGCTTTGGCGCCCCGGTGGTCATGGTGCATACACATCTTTCGTATCGCCCCCCCCCCCATACAGTGGATAATGTATATTCGTGCAGAATGTGGGCACCCGTTTTAACAAGAATGTTCGTGGTGATAAACCGTTTCGGCAACGTTTTGCGTGGGCGTGCGTTTGACATGGAACCGGCTTAACATAAGAAAAAATGATAAATGTATATTGTGCCGGTGCCTGACCGGAAACTAACAGGTATCATAGGTGATATTCGTAATAGTTTTATTTTCGAGTCAGACTGATAATTTATATAAATATTAACATTATTAAATTAATTAAAAATAAATGTCTTCGTTATAAATGTTTAAATTACGTTATTATATAAATATTATAAATACATACGTTTGAAAATATAAATATCCAATTGTATTATTTTATTTGATTCATGTTTATTAACAATATTATAACAGTTGAATGTGTATGGATAAAAATAATAAATATAGGTGTAAAACATTTGTATAAAGATGCCAAAATAAGGCCTTTTATAACTATATATATATAAGTAAAATAAGATTAATAAACAGAATAATGTTATAAAATTAAATTTCGTGTAGGTACCTAATATTTGTTTGATATTGTTAATGTTATAAGGAAAAATATCTAGTTTATCAGAATTACCAGTATTCATTAACATATTAGCCTGAGAGAAGGTCTAATAATTTAAGAGGATGTTTCGGAAAAAAAAAAATGCATTTGTACCTTTAATGTTACAGTTAATTTTAAATTAATTTTTTCACATAAAAACCTACATCCACTCTATTATTAAGCAATTTAAAAAAAAAAAAAAAAACATAAAATGTGGTTATTTCTTTTTAGAGTTTTTAAGGAAGTCATACTAATTATCCCAGAACTTAATTCCGTCATAACTAGTATATGATTGCCTTTATACTCTGCATTTAAAAGATAAAAATCGCCAGAGATTCTAGACTTTGAGTGGATGTTATAGAGTCGGAAAACCAAATCAGCGCGGCATATTCTAATTGAGAGCGAACAAATGCTAGTATGTTATTAAATTCTGAACAACATCGCTTAAGAAAGCCAAGTTTTGAAAATACTTTATTTTTAATTTTATTTATATGATCGTTAAATTTGAGTTAAGTATCAAAAAAAAATATAAAATAATATCTAAATCATTAACTAAGAATACACGTTGTATTAGATAATGAATTTAATTATAACTTAAAAGTTAAAATCATTTTTTTAATGAAAAAGTGATTACAGAATATTTATTTAAGTTAAATTCCATGCCATTATCAATACACCAATTGAAAAAGTTATTTTAGTCTTCATTGTAATTTATAGCATCATTTCTTGTTGTACCTAGTAGTTTTGTAAATTTTGTCATCGTCTGCTAGGAGTAATATTTTTGACTGTTTTAATATTGAAGATATATCATTAATGAACAGTAAAACCGGAAATGAAGAAATATGATCATCCAGTGGTATACCAGAAGTGACTTGAATGGGAACCGAAAAAAAGTTAATATATTTATCAATTTTCTTTTTATGAAATAAAAAAAAGAAGCAAATCACGACAGAAGAGGGTCGTAAATACCATAATTTTGTTTCATCTTTAGAACCAATACATTATGATCAATTCAATCTAACGGTTTATTAAAATTAATATAGATAACATCTGTTTGTATTTAAAGGAAAAATAATGTCATTAATTTCGTTGAGAATTAATTTCAAATTTTCACTATCAGATTTAATCTTGAAGGATCTGTAATTTCAGGTAGGCTGAACAAAATTATATTATTAGCTCTTTATTGTTTATTTGCAATTTCGTTAATAAGATCTAAATGCATTATATTAGAGGCAGATGAAGTATTTTTTTCGAAATTTTTTACTTTGATTTCAAGTTCAGGGATTTTGTTAGTTAGTAGAATATTAGCATTGGATAATATATCTATTTCAGTGGTGAGATCATCAAAACGAGTATTAAACTGTTTTATGGCTTTACCTTGTGCATTGATGGATTATATTAATGACAAATGTGTTGTTTTAATGCTTTCTAGAGTTTTTATAATGGATGCAAGTTGTTTATCCATAATAATTGAATAGGTTATATAAGAATACTATTATTATTATACTATAAGAAAATATTATGCATACATACAGAAAAGATATTATACTCTTTAATACGCAATTAATGAGAAAAATGGTAAAAACTTTGATATAGTACGTCGCATGACTGTTATTTTTTTGATTATGTAACTAAAAAAAAAAAAAAAAAAACTAGTTAAACGAATTTCGAATATTTGTTGTATTTCAATTATTATCATAGAATTAAGGAATATGAATTATAATTTTAAAAATCCAATTGGTCTGTTTCCCGTACAAAAATTTACCACTTCCAAAATAAATACAAATCGTCGAAATCTGATCACTGTCCAAATCGTGATTTCCTGTAATATTTTTTTAATATTTTGTGCAAAAAAAAGATAGGGAACACGCAGGACTCTTAAGGTATTTTTAGTGAAATTTTTAAGATATATTTAGTACAATAATGCGATCACTAATTTTTTTACATTTTGAATGCAATAAAGTTTGATCGCTATTAATAAATATGATTCAAGACATTGTAAATATTGCGCTTATTACGTAATTACAGTAGAATAATATAATTAATGAATTACACTGCATTGTATTATTGTTTATGTCCAAATAATAGCATTGAATAATACAAACATCAATAATTTTTGTAACCAAGTGTTTTTTATTTTTTGTAATGTATATAATTTATTATATTCTCAACATTATACAATATTATGTCATTAATAATAATAATATTTCTAGTGCCATAATCATATAATATAGGTACAGTATGTTATAAACGTTATAATAAATTAACGTTTTTTTTTTTTTTAGAACAAAAAACCATGCATGAAATATAAAATTATAATAATACTTAAAATTCAACTATTAATTGTTGTACTATATACGTATCTATTACGCATATATTGTAGATAAATGTTTGACATTACAATTTTACATTTTATAGATTTTATAGATTTTCTGTATTACACACGGGTACATTTTTCGCCAAAATAACAGAGATAGAAAGAGAGAGAGAGAGAGAGAGAGAAAGAGAGAGTGAGGGAAATATATGTTCCTAACATGTTGTAAGATTTTTATTTTGCATAAACTTTTCTGTGTGACGAAAAACATCTTTTCTGTAATATATTATTATTCGTATTGATATAATTATCATACATTTATATGTATTATAAATCATAATTAATAAATAGGCTGATAAATGATATTAACGATACATGAAGTAACTTCATTAACGACAACGATAACGAGGGAGTTAGTGGAGGGGGACCGGCTCTCCCAAAAATTTGATATGGTAGGAATATGTTCTTTTACTGTACATTTTTTGGCTTTCAATACACTGCTTCTTTTGCTCGTAATAAGAAAGTGATGTGCATGTATTTGAAAACAATATTTGCGCCTACGGACACAACAGAAGATCCAATTAGTTGTATTTCATAATCGTATACAATTATTATGTTTAAAATCTCGACTATAATATGGCAATTTGTATACACAATATTAATATGTTAATGTGTATATTGTATACGTGTATTAACATAGGTTTACATTTTCACCACCGACTTAATCATAGGTAATCTTTTTTTTTAAGCGTATAAGACAACTATGAGAGTTTTCTTATAAATACAAGGTCATACATAAGCAGTGTTGAGACGAATACAAAACAAATTTATCTAGACAAAAATAAAAGACAACTGCTCCAAAATCATCTAGATCTCAGATCAAATAATATACGAGTGGAATTTATCTAGATGAAAAAGGTCTATTTTTATTTTTTAATTACTGTTTAATGTTTTTGAGAATATTATAACAGAAATAAAAATTGTTAACGGTCAAAATAATTATGTAAAATGTAAAGGGCGTAAATACGAACACCAAGTATAATTTCACGGTTTATTGAAAATTGTCTACTGTGTGCAAGTAGTTTTTTTTTTTTAACATATTTTTTTTTATCCAGATAATTATCTTTTATCTTATAATATATAAATAACTCAACTTTCGGACACAGTGGCGGCTATCCCATACTAAAAGTGTACCTGTCGATACACCTTTGAAATCAGGTGGGTGGGTGATTGTGGTGGATGCATGACTTGTATAAAGTCATACTATTAAAGGATTAAATAATAATATAATTGTGTTATGAATGTCTACTGTACATAGTAGTTACATAATAGTCCATACAAATTTTTTGTTAGGGTGATTGGGTGGTTTATGGCTTTAAAATTGATGCATCATTATTTAGCATGATAGCCGCCAATGTTTGGGCACGTAACAAAATTTACATTTTGACAAGAGTAAAGGTAAAATATATTTTCAAAATTAAGGTTTCACGGGCCGGGTGGGACAAAAATACCTAAATTTGATAGTCTTATTTTACGAACGCCTAATTAGTATGTTAAAATGTTACATACAAGTATGCAAATTACAATTTGCCTAATGGTAAAATACGAGAATTATAGACTAACGCGCGATTTTCGGTGTTGGATATTGTTCGCTATTTTTATATGTATTTTTTTTTTCAATTTCTACATCAAAATTACACGCGCCTGCACTATACACACGATGGGCGACGCTGGAATATTGTCAACAACAATTAAACACATTGAATGTTTTTATAGATTGGGTACAATTTATTTGAGAATACGGTAACATTCTAAAAAAAAAAAAAAACAAAACACATCGAATACCCGTTCGATTAATATTTTTCTAGCTTCGGAGCCGTCCGGACGCGTGAATGCGTGTCTATTTTTGAGTCTCAACACTGCACGTAATAATATTATGGTTACTAATATTAAAAACCTATCTATGCACAATATTAAAATTGTATTGGGTTTATTGTTATTCGTGTACGCCGTGTAACAATAACACGGATAACGGCTGATAACTATATTATAACATTGTGTTTGTAATGATTACGCGACAATGATGACGATCGCGGTGCGGTTCGTACCGGATGACGTTACACCGATATATCATTGTTATGTAAAACCGTGCGCTAGATAAGATAAGCTTAGGTGATACGGTGACGGCGGTCTTGCGGGACGGTGGGTGTAGCGATGTTGGGTCGACGGGTGGCGTGGCGGCGATCGTGGACGGATCGGCGGCGGTAGTGGAGGACGACGAGGAGAGGGCGGCCTCGCGTCCCCGCCACGTCAAGTCTCGGCGATCCGCGGCGGTTGTATCTAAACGGGCAGCGGGACCGGGTCCCACGTGAGGTTCTGCAGGTACGTCGTGTCGCTGATGTCTCCGTCGCGTTTGCAGTCGACGAGCGCCGCGGCGCTGCCGTTCCGCGGCCGCAGCCGCCGCCGACGCCGGGTGAACGATCGCGTGTAGATCTTCAGCACCTGACAGTTGCACGTGACGGCCAGGGCAACCAGTATGCCCTGCAGCGAGTGGCCCACGTTGTACGCGATCCACGCGACCGGGTCGGCGGCGGGCGAACCGTTCCGGGCCACGTATCCGAACGCGTTGACCGCGAACAGCAGCGCGGCGATCTTCACGTACAGGTGCAGCTGCAGCGTGCGTTTCCGGTGCATTTTCAGCCGGGTCTTTTTGTCTACCTGAAGGCCCACGGTGGCCCGGGCGGTCAGCCAGCTGCGGACCAGCGAATCAATGATTGCGGCGAACAGGCACAGCGCCGGCATTGCGAACGTAACGTTATAGATTGTCTTCTCGAAAAACCTGAAACACCGTACACGATTAGCTCCAGTAAGACCAGTAGCCTTATATGCATGTGGTGCGGGGGCCACAACAAAATCGGACCAATTCAAATTTCGACCCAATATTAAAAACGAAGGAGAATATGAGATAAGGACAAATCAGGATATCTAAGGCCTGTACGAAGAAGCGGCAATCAATGGTGTTTTAAAATGTAATAGGAATAATAGGACAGGTTAAAGAATGGATACCAATCAAAAAAGGCCAAGAGAATACCACAGACAAAGTTGAAAGAATAGAGTAACCAAGGACCTAGAAGAACTTGGAATTGAGAACGGAGTAGAACCGGCTAAGGAAGAAATCAATGGTAACAAGTGGTTGTTGCGACAATGAACCTAAATGGTATAGAAGAAGAAAACAATTATTAATTTTTTTCTCATTCGCGATGATCATTAAAAAAAAATAAAATAAAATAAGTCATAAATAGTAAATAAATACATAGATCATTTCTTTTTTTTCAAATATTAAAAAATAATACAATAAAAAAATAAATAAATAATGTGATGCAGATATCATCAATTCTAATCTGGTGTTTTTCTCCTGTTCGTATTATGTAATTTTACTAATCATTACGAATATAATTCTTTCGAATTAAAATTCGTTTTATTCGCTTTTAATGTATCTACATTTTCAATTTTAATGTAACCGATAACCACTATTGAAAACCCTGATAACTCTGCACAATTTAATATTGGAGGACAGTTTGGTATCATTTTCATAAGGCACGCGGTCGTTTCTAGTAAAGTACTTATTATAAATATTATACTCGTGTATTATTCGATTAAAATTTAAAATATTGTATTTAGAAAGAATGTTCATTATTGTGTCCCGATTCCCGGACGCTCCCGAGGAGTAGTCCTGCGTGCTCTGGCGGCGGACACGGATAAACAATATGTTTTTATTTTTTTTTTTTTTTTTTAATAACGAAATAAACGTTGAGAATAAACACTACTACGATACTGACCAACAGTTGTACGGGTTCAAGTTGTCCACGGCCTGGCGGTTCACGGTCACTCGCATGATGCTCGCCGAAATCACCGACAGTGACGGTACGCCCCAAGCGAACAAACTGTACTTGACGAACCTCGATATGAGAACGTTCACCGGTTCCGGTCGAGGGTTGAGGTTCACGTTGTTGCGGAATGTGATTAGCATGTCGTACGTCATCACGCACAGCCAACTGACAACGGCCAAACGGAGGTAGTGTATACCGAACGCCAAACACAAACAGAGGTTGTCTTCCTGTAAACGTAATAATGTATTTTTATTATTACGCTATAATAACGCGGGCTGCGGCCACGCCGTTGTAAATTCAGTGCCGAGATGACATATTGTAGCTGTAAAAAACGCGAAACACTCAATGCACTCATGCAATTAAAAACATATTATTATTTATATAAAAAACGTCTAAAATAAGAAAAAGACGGACATACTTTGCACGTGGGTGTAGCCACTGTTGTAGGTGGGAAGTTGGGAAGGTAGGATACAAAAGAGAATTCAATGTATATTCGTAAGCAACGATTGCGACGATTGCTTACGAAAAAACGATTCTGAGCGGAGTTCAGTTAATATTGATGCTTTGTCAAAAATATACGAGGGTTGTCCCAAAAGTAATGCACAGCGCGCTCTAGCTGTCTTGCAATGTGATATTATCAGCTGATTTTAGTATCAGTTTGTAGCTTGAAGTCTAACGAACACGTGCGTTTTCAGTTTTAGTTGTTTTAGTAAAGTATGATGATGTGTGAGAGCGATAACGAAAGTGAGAACAATTCGTCGGNAGCACGTTGGGTGCCTCATTTTCTGTCACCGGAACAGAAGGATACACGCAAAGACATCTGCCGTGAACTCCTTTCTCGCTACGAAAATGAAAAAGAAACGTTTCTTGATCGTATAATTGCAATAGATGAGACTTGGATCCGTGATTTTGAGCCGGAATTAAAATCTCAAAGCAATATTTGGAAGGGAATAACATCACCAAGAGCAAAAAAAGTTCGTCGCTAGCAAACAAAGGTGAAACAAATGATGATTTTTGCTTGCGATAAACTTGGGATAATTGTCACTGATCGAGTTCCAATTGGCAGTAGTGTAACCGAAAATTACTACAAAACATTCCTTGCCAAAAAATTGCGACCAGAATTCCGTAAAAAGCGACTAGGAATGTTACAAAATGGTGTGTCCATATTGCACGATAATGCGCGGCCACATATCGGAGCACCAGTCGTCGCTCTTTTGGAGAAATATGGTTGGGAACGCCTCAAACACCCACCGTATTCACCGGATTTAAGTCCCCCGGACTTTGATTTATTTCCAAAACTGGAGGAACCACTTAGAGTGATCCGTTTTCCCAACTTAGATATACTAAATGAAGAAGTGAGCCGAAGGATCCGTGAACTCGACAAAGATGACGTCCTATGCGGCATTCAAGCGCTCCCGAAACGATGGCAATCGTGTATAGACAAGCAGGGAGATTATATCGAAGGTCTATAATATTGTATTTAGTTTAAAATAAAAACTTATTTATTCAGAGCAAATTGTGCATTAATTTTTGGGACAACCCTCGTATGTCATATTATGGTAAATTATTGAATAACTAAATAGGTATTATATATTTTCTTTAATAATATTTATTTAATAATAATCTAATTTTCCCGTTTTTCTTTTGTTTTTTCATGTTTTTTCCCGGTTTTTCACATTTGCTGGGAAAACTTGAGAAAATCGAAAAATGTCTTCCTTAAGGTACTTCCCCAGTCAGATTTCCTTTCAGACAAATTGCTATCATTGTAAATCGGAGCAAAATGGCTGGTAGAAAAGTTGTTCGCAGAAAAAAAATCGTAATATTTTATACTAATATATTTCGTACATTTTCCCGTTTTTCCTTTATTTTTTTCGAATTTTCACAGTTGATGAGAAAACTCCTGGGTAAATTAAAAAATGACCTGCTTAAAGTGCCAACTCAAGAAAATTTCCTTTCAGAAAAGGATATATATCGCATACATCAGAGTAAGCTTTCTGGTAGAATTTTCGTACACTGTATAGAAAAATAAAAAATAAACATCTATGTAAAACCAATACATTCTTGTTTCGCTTGGAACTTAAAATTAATGAGCTATCACTATTTATAGTATAATTAGTAAATTATTATAATAGTTTTTTTGTGAAAAAATATATTTAGTTAGGTTTTAATAATAATTAATATTTACAATTAATTATAAGATGAAACAATAAATATTCACATTCTTTATAAATATAATACGAATTGAATGTAAAAAAAAATACGGCCATTGAGGGGGAGATTAAACGCCATGACTCCCCCCTCTGTGAGTACGCCCACGATGAAGAAATAAAATATTGTCCCTATCTAATAAAAATATATTCTATAACATGATGTTAAAATAATAGAATAAAATTTATTTTGACGGTACATGAGAATATATTTAACAGCGCACATCGTTTGTTACGTGATCAAAACGTAAACACTGCCTGTGCGAAAAATTTACCAAGGATCGCAATTTAACAGGCGCGACTATCGACATAGCCAATGGCAAGAAACATTTGAACAGCAAAATCTTCGACTGACGAAACTAACGATTTGCGGTTTCCGGTGGCTGGTCAGTTGTTGCATGGCGGTCAACTGAGAAGTGTCATGCTATTTGACAATGTCAAGTTTATTTCTAGTGATCACTCTGTGTTGTGTTTCATTTATTTTTGGTGTACCGTTAAATAATCGAAAAGTCAAAGTTGTTATCATCCCATCAATCGTCACGTCTAGAAAAGGCAAATATGTTTTCTGTCCAAATGTCAAGTCTCTACGAATATTTTTAACTGAATTACGACAAATAACAAAATTGATAAAATAATAAAAGCATTAATTTCGTGCATTTCCCGTTTTTCTTACGTTTTTCTCAGATATTATGAAAACCGCTTGGAAAATCAAAAAATGACCTCCCAAAGGTACTATCTAAATAACATTCCCTTTCAGAAATGATGTCAATATGAGGCCATATCTGAGAGCAAGATTTATGGTCGAATTTTTGTACACAGAATAAAAAAGAAAAAATAAACATTTTAGTAAAACCAATACATTCTTCACTACACTCAGAATCTAAAATATAACAGGTTAATGTGGTAATAATTGTAGGATTATATCTAAAGTGAGTTCAACCAAATACTTAGGTGTAATTTATGATGAGTACTTAAAACGGAAATGTCATATAGAAATGATGATTATTACTCGAATAAGGAAATGTTTTTATATTTTTAAAGAGCTAAGGTATATTCTTAATATTCTTATTCTATAAATGGTTCATTTGGTTCTATGCCAAGCTATATTAATGTATGGATTATATGTACGGGGTTTAGCATATAAAAGTGTGATTAAATATAATTCACAGGATGCTCATTAGAGTTTTAATAAAAAATTATTATATAAATCGAAATTTTAGTACAGACGATTTATTTCAAAAACTAAAAACATTAACAATTGATCAATTATACGATAAATTGTCAGTAATGAAAATACAAATGTATAGAAAAGAATTTGAGATCAACAGTATGTATAAAACAAAGGGAGAAAATGGTGGTAATTAATTAAACAAAATTAATGGCCAATTATTTTATCACTAAAGGTATTAAAGTATAAAACCAACTACCTACGGAGATTAAACTAATAGAAAATAATATTGAATTAAAACTAAGGTTAAAAAAACTATATATGCGATTGTTTGATTGATGTCTCATTCTACTTGTTGTAAGGGTTATTGTGATTTTTTCATGACTGTATTTTGATATATTCTATTCTTATCTTATAATTTAACAGTTCTTAATGTAACTTGTAATTATAAATATAATTTTTGTTATAATATACTCTCTCCTACCGACACAAGCTTAGTTTATAGGGAGAAGATATTAACTTGTAATGTAAATGGTAAATATGATGTATTGTATATATTTATTATTTAAATATTTAATATTAAGTGGATAATATTTCCTTTTTTTCCATAACATAATATATTAGATTTTTATTTATGATTTTTTTCATAATTGTTGACATTGTATTTAGAAGTGTGCTAAGTCTGTATCATTCAGTGGAAAGTATTCCTTTTTCGGGTTTAGGAATAGAAATTATTATTCCCTTTTTTTCATTTGTTAGGTTTCACTTTTGTGTGCTAAATAATATACTAAACTCTCAAAGAAATTTTTCGGCCATTTTGCCAATAGTTGTAATACAATATGGTATGCAATAGCATAAGCTCTAATATTAATGCAAAAGCTCTAATAAGAGCTCAAAGCAAAAGTGGCTCAAAAGTTTTGGCAATGATGTTGTAAGCAAGTAAATCAAAAAGACAACAAAAAAAGTATTTTGTGATTTTCGATTAAATAATTTTTTCTCGTAGAAAACGTCGTCCCTGTTTTTATAAAATAACACAATCGTGAAATTGTACGTTTTTCTACGTTTTTTCCCATTTAAGAGTTTTTATTTAAAAAAAAGTGTTGAAAATCAAAAAATTAATCTTTCTAAAGTTAAATCTAGACAACTTGAGCTTTCAGAACAGTTGTAGTTCGTAAAGATCAGATCAAGTTTACTAAGAAAAAACGTGTCCACAGACTAGAACAAAAAAAAAAAAAAAAGCAATAAACAACATTGTAAAACCAAATCTCCGTCGCTACGCTCGGAATCTAAAAAAATATAATATTTTTAGCTAATACCTACATTTCTTATATTTTCCCGTTTTCCTGTTTTTTTTTTTTTTTTTTTTTTTTTTTGTTTTTCTCATTAGTTGAGAAAATTAAAAAAATAACCTCTTTAAAGCTACCTTCCCAGAGAAATTTCCTTTTAGAAAAATTGATTTAATTATAAGTTTGACCAAAATTTTTGGTAGAAATGTTGTTCACAGAAAAAAAAAATATCTTTGTAAAACCATAAAATTCTCTACTCTACTCAGAATCTAAAACAATTATCTACATAATTTAATTATATGCCATACTACAACCAAATTAATTAAATAATAAAAAAAAAAAAATCCATCCTAGAATAATGGGGACTGGTGGAGCCATTGTTGTAAATAATGTAATATATACCTGTAAGCAACCATTACTAACGAAAAAAAATTCTGAGTGTATTTATTTTTTTCAATTTTTTTTTCAACATGCTGTTCTTTTAGGACTGGGTGGGTCTCTGTTTAGAGAAAAATTAAATTTTTATTTTCATCGCATAATCGCTAAAAAAGAAAAAAAATTATAATAATTATAACTAAGTATTCATTTACTAAATTTAATTTTCGATTAATTCTGTAAAAATCTATTATTTTACAACAAAATAAACCAAGTTATTCCCTTTTGCGTTACGCGGCAATCTCGTCAAACGGCTGTTTTTAAAAAACTATGTAAATCTATACCTATGAATATATATGATACATTACAATATTTTGAACAATATATTTTACAAAATTGCAATTTTGAAAATTTTGTGAACTAATTAAATAAAGTTATAATTTTTTTTTTTATTTTAAAATTAGGGGACGAAAATAAATATTTAATTTTTTTCTAAATAAACGTCTTTCTCAAAGAAAAGTAAATTGAAAACAAATTAATTATTAACAGTTCCCGAAAAATACGTCAAACACGTTAGGTCACCTGTATAATATTTAAAATTCGTGTATAATTATCTTGCCTTCAGAATCATATTCCTGTAGTGTATGTAATATAGATAATAATAATTATTATTACTGTTAAATTAATTAATTAACGTAAACTTCTGACCTATAATATAATAATTGATGTCAGTAGCACGCCCACGCGAAAATGGCGACGAAAAAAAAATTGAGATACGTGGTCAACCTCGACACAAACTATACAGTATTTTACGATTCAAAACGATATATTATATTGTAACAATAAAAATTGCCCGGAATAAATAATATCGGTTTGAAGATCGTAAAAAACTCAAATCTGTTTGAAATTATTGGCAGAAAAATCAAATATTGATATTCAAATTATTTTATTGTTTTCATGTATTGAAAATTCTTGGGAAATTGTACGAATGACCGGCCGTTTAAAGTTCACTTTGTGTTTTAATTTACAATCGATATATAGAGACGCTGTAGTGTAATGATATTTTCAATGCGCTTTTTCTATATCTAAAAACGCGGACGTAGACAAAAAATAGGGCGAAAGAAAAAACAAAATACAAACCACAAAAAAAAAAAAAAAAAAAAAAAAAGGCGGAAGAAAATACGAAAAATAAGGAACTATTGTGAAATCAATGTAGTTTCTTCGCAACCACGCTATAAAAGAATCTAGGTACTGTTTTTAACATTTAATCAACTTAACACGGTTAAATAACGAATATTTATGTAAGATAAAAATGCATGTTTAACGTATAAATCATAATAAGAATGTCTTGGAAGTTATTATCGGTTCGTTTAATGGATACTGAAAGCACCGCGGTGTAAGTAACCGTTAAAGTCACGTTTTATTGTATTATATAATATTATGTTACAATATAGGGGCAGGTTATAAGGTCCATAGTTTGAGTGAAGTGTTCGATTGACGGAATGGAAAAAAAATATTTCATAGATTCAAGCCCGTATACAGGGAAGGAGGGTTTGGGGTTCAAACGACCCCAACATTTTTAAAATAGGTAAATGTTTATAATATAACAAAAACTAACTACAAGTTAATGTATTCAAAATATTGTAAACCTCTCCCCTCCCAAAAATTTATCTTGAATACATGGTTGCATAGATTGTCTGGTATGTTCAAGATGACGAACAGTAGGATCTTTCTTGTTGTTGGGAACATACGAATTTAAAAGCCAGCCCTAAATGAAAAGCAAATTTAAATAAAAAGAAAAAAGTCTAACTTAAAATAAGGTCTCAAAACCAGAGGCGGAGACTCCCATCATTACGTGTGAACAGGGGCTCACCGAGAAAATCGCGTTTTCCCGACTTAATAATACGTTTAGACAATTATTGGCTTTAGTTATGTACAGCTAGATTTTTAAGTTTAAAAATCAATAAAATATTTTTAAAACGAGTTAATTTTCTTTGTTTTACAACTGGATTTGAACGGAAAATTCTAATTATGATAAAAAAAAAAAAAAAAAACGCACCCAAACTATCGTTTGTTTTCGGTTCGCTGCTTAACGGATCTTTATACGCAAATTTACTGTGAACAAAGAATCGAATTTATAATGTATTTGAGAAAATTAATCTATAGTTGAATCAATATTAGTTAATGAAAAAATTAAATTAATAAAAAACAATCAATACAATTTTGTTTACAAAACTTAGAAAGAAAAAAAAATTCTAAAATTGGTAATTAGAGACAATACCCACAACCACTGTTGCTATAAAAATTAAGCTGATGTTCTACCTACCGTCCGTATTTTAAAGGATGCGTTTAGGCAGTTTTCATTAAGTTAAAAAATTGTGGGATCAGCAGGTTGGCTATCTGCATCAATGAGTGACTAAATTATATTATATGCAATAGAATAAAATTAAATCAAGTTAAGAAATCTGAGTTTACCCTCTTTTGGTCCAGGGAGGTCACTTAAGTTTAAAAGTGTCCTGCAAACAGGGAAAAAGATGAATAAATGAGAGAAAATTCGACAAAAAAGTGTACGAACGACACAAATAAAGTTGTTCTTAATGTTCTGTGAAATATTATTAACCTTAATATAAATATGGAAATAGTATATGAAAACAGTGGCGAAGTTAACTTTTATATTTTATGGGGCAAATGTAGATGTTAAAGATTGATCACCACCTCCTAAGTGTTATTGGGCAGAGTCGAAGCCCCCCATCTTCACCAATTTACCATTCCACAAATATATAATTTATGACATGATGATTTTATATTTTATTAATAAACTCGGACACTTCATATATTTTAATAATACATTATAACTATTTTTATTTTGCTATCCATCAATACAAGACAACACCGGACTAATGACCAAAATGATGAGCCATATAAAAAAAACATAGGAGTCTGTAGGATTTTTTTTCAAACATTAATTTATACAATTAAAAAATCATAAATTTAATTTCATCTTCTTCGTAAAAATTAGGTTTATTTAAATGTTTGCTGGTTTCCTTAACACTGAATATTTAATAAATAAAAGTTAAAGTAAATTAGTGAAATATAAAATATTAACTTAATATAAATAATAATTATATATTTACTTTATATGAATAACAATAAACCTATATTTAAACGATAAAGTATTAAGTAAAAGTCTCCCCCTTGTTATTTGCACTATTTATTAATGATATTCATATTGTTAACTGTCGCTTCCTTTTTTTGCTGATAGAATGATGAGAATAGCAAATAAGGAACCATCAACTCTGTTGGGCTAATTAATGTTCTTATATGTGTTATATATGTTTCGTTTATATTAAAACATGTAATTGGGTAAATCCCGTATTAAAATAAAAAATAATAATAATAAACTATCAGTTGGCAATAATTCATAATTTTAGCCGAGGGGTACCACCACCCAAATGGTTATGAGGCCATCGCGATAGAGTATTTCATAACTCTATCGCGCCGCCACTGGTATAGAGTTTCTCGTGAAAAAGTTTTTCAAACGAATTTTGGTGAGGAAAGGGGTATTACGTTCTCATATACAATAGTTTTTACCTGGACTCCTCCGACGCCGACCACGTAAAACAGTTGCGTCAAAAACATATTGGCTAACATGTACATCAAAGCCGTGCCGGACATGGTCCTGAGATCGGAAAACAAACTGAAAAAAAAAACAAATAATTATTATTATAATATAGAAGTATTAATTTTATCTATATATTATTTGAATTTATATAAATACGCGGGTGTGTGACGTAGATTTATAGCGCATATATTATTATTACGGTGCTTTCGTTTATAATTATTATTAGACGACCATCATCATTATCGCCAGCAATCTGTTATGTTTTATAGGTAGGTACGATGATGTTTTTTTTTTTAGCAAAAACCTTTGTGTTTATACGAGCAGCAGCAGTGTCTTTATGAATGCGGACGAGGTAAACGAACGAGTCGCGAAACGGCGATAAAGTACCATTTGTTATAGTGACAGTTTTGTGTTGACAGAGATATTCGCTGTATATTACACTATAACCAACAGTCGTCATCATTATTGCCAAGTCCACGTTAAGTCTTTATTCTGCCTTTTCCGCCCCTTATGCACTCCTATATATTACGATTCATCTTACTAAATAATACGTAGGTGTACCTATTTACCAGCTGATACCTCCTCGCGAATTGGAGTGCCCACAAATTTTTTTTCACGTCAGCATAATAATATATAAGTTAGCACGATAATGCGTTCGTTTGCTGTTTGAATTATCGCATAACAGCCAAAAAAAGGGATACCGGTCGATCATGACGAATATCGATCATTACAAACATCGTTTGTTTTTTTTTTTTTTTTTAGTTTGGAAAACTTCAATCAATGTTTGTGTTAATACATATTTCGTATTATATTATAGCGATTAAGATTTAATCCATCTATATTTCAAAGGAAGTGTCATGTTTTCTGTATGCGAATCACAGCCGAATTTATCGTACGCAAAGCCCTTTTTCATTGGCATTAATTTTTAACGTCTTCTTAACGCCTTACCTGGTGATTTCGGGGGGTTAATTTCCCTCCAAATGTGTTAGATTTTTTTTACAATTTTATTAAACTCATATTAAAATGTTAACATTTTACCTTAACCAAATAAGATTCCTTTTCACTTTTAAATTGTTTTCTGGGTACCTACACATACTATGTACGTTATTAGGTTGTACTTACGCTTTTCTAATTAACAAATAATATTCATTGTTACTCAAAGTAAACGTTTGAAAATAAAGCAACTAGAAAATGATATCACTAGGTATTGTTAATTTTATTTCAGGCGCTCTAACGATTTTAAAAGGTTTGGCGCTCCGATGAAATTGGTCCTCACTTTTAATACTATCCTGAATGTGTGTCTTACAGCCAACATTTTTTAATTTAATCTCCTGCAAGGGGAGTGTGACTCACACAGGACTTATGGTATTTTTTGTATGCAATTTTGTTGAGTTCTGGGTTAAGTACCACGGTGACAAGGATAATGATAAAAAAAAAAAAAAAATTGTTATTATTAGTTAATTTAGTTGTCACGAGAAAAAAGTTACTTCTTTAAAAAATGAATAACGAATAACAACAATTAACTATGTTAAGGACGGGGGAATGGGGTAAAACCCTAGAGTCATTGTGAATCACAAGGGAACAAATTTTTCATAAGAGGACAAGTTATAATTTATTTATCCGTTCAATACTGTGCACGGGTAAAACCGTGCGCGGAACCTAATTAATATTATCAGTAATCAATTGAAACAATCAAAATCGCTCTAAAATTATGCGCCAAAATAAATGAATTTGAATCGAGTTCGCATTAATTATATTTATTTGTTCAATCATAATAATAATACAAATAATAATAACATAATATTAAGTTTTTGTTTTACTTTGTTCGATAAAATGTCTCAAAAATATGAGAAATAATAATAAGTACAGATGCCTATTTAATCGATTATCTCAGGTAATCAAAAATAAATTTGGTTACTCGCGGTTTAACTATCTTATAAGCGAACAGTAAACAAAAGTTGAAATAGGAAAATCAAGTAAAGTGTGTGAACTTTTAAGTGTTTAAAATACTATGGCTTAAATAGTTAAGCTATACAGTAGGTATACAATCTACTGAGGTATTAGAAAACTTAAAATATGTTTTAATACTTGTTATTTCGAAAACTGCAAAACTGTTTCCCGGATATAATAATATGTTAATTGTATATTAAAATATATTTAGAAAATTGTAATTATTATAATTAATTCTTATGTCTATAAACTGTAGTTTATTATAATTTAAAAGTCATTAATTCGAAAATATATTCGATATTTCCTAAATAAATATGTTAATTTTTTCTGAAACTTCCTATATTAGGTACTCATTTAAACGGCATTATTTATAACATTAATTTTGTCCCTTGTAGTTTTCAATAAACTTAAAATCGTGGCAATATAAAATATTAATTTTGGAAGAAAATGTCCGTCTTAAAAACGCTGGAAGAAAAATTCCCGAAGAAAAGACTCTACTGAGTTAAAAATATCCGGGTAAAAATATCCAAAATAAAAAAATGCTGAAAAATAAAAAAAAATAGCAAGAATCTTATTGTAACATAAATTATTAATTATTACTGTATCATATCACTATTTAATTTACTGAGTGTAGCGAAGAATGTATTGGTTTTACTAAGATGTTTTTTTTTTTTATACTGCATACAAAAACTCTACCAGAAATCTTGCTCAGATACATACACGCGGCACCATTTCTGAAAGGGAATGTTTTCTAGATGGTACTTTTATGATGTCATTTTTTGATTTTCCATACGGTTTTCATATCTGGGAAAAACTAGGGTAAAACGTAAGAAAAACAGGAAATTTACGAAAACAATGCTTTTATTTTTAAATTTTGTTATTTGTTGTATTTCAGTTAAAAATATTCGTAGAGACTTTAAATTTGAACAGAAAATTTATATTTTTTTTTTCCTAGATATGGTAAAATTGTTGAAATATTTTTGCCATTTTTAAGCTTTTTACACAAATTTTAATATTTTTGTTGAAATTTAGTTTAAAATATTCATATGGGACTCAATGGATTTAAAAGTCGAATAAAAATGTATTTGTCTTTTCTAGACGTAGTAAAATGATCAAAAAGTTTAAATGAGTTTTGAGCTATTTATAGGCATTTTAATTTTGCGAGTTTTGTGCTTAATTTTTATTCGTTATTCTGTGGTAAAATTATTAGACTTAATAGAAATGCTTGAAAATTTAACAGGAAGTTTATTAATAGCCTTACTTTGTGGTCAAAAAAGAAAATTTGAGTTTAATGTAGTATTTTTTTTTATATATACTGTAAATTATTGTATATTGCTGATTTAAGAACGATGGTGAAGTCAGAATTGAGCGGATATTATATATTATGTTAAACAGCTAAATATTGTCTTCTCTAAAGTATGTTTTTCGTAGCTGAATGGTTATACATAGCTATATAGCTATTTTCATCCTAGAGTTTGCAAGTTCAAACCCGAATTTCCAAAAAAAAAAAAAAAAAATGTTTTTTTCTCTTTTACTTAAATAAATAAAAAATATATTTTGGGTGTATCTAGAGACCCGAACTATCGTTTACTCGGACTTTTTTTATACCCTTCGATTTGTTGTGCAATCTTTTCTACTAAAAATCTTGTTCCGATGCATCAAGTATTAGCTTATTTTCGAATAGGACATCTAATCTTCATGGTAACTTGGGGATGTCATTTTTAGGTTTTCCCAGTAGTTTTCTCAATAAATGGAAAAAATCGTGAAAAACAGAGAAAAACGGAAAAGTGTAAAACATACATTAATAAAATATTACGATTTTTTTTTTCTGTAGACATCTTTTCTACTAGCAATTTTGCTCCGATTTACAGTGAAAACACGTTTTCTAAAAGGAAATCTATCTGTGTATTTTATAGAGGTACTAAGCATAAATATTAATCAAATATCATTAAAGAAATTCTATAATGTCTATTTAATTATTTTACCATAATATGACAGGTATATATTGTTGACAAAGCATCACTATTAACTGAACTGCACTCAGATTTTTCGTTAGCAATGGCTTATCGTTGCATATAGAAATACATTAAATTACCTATAACAGTGGTTGCACCTGACCCCATTATCCTAGGACGTTTTTTTTAATCTAAAATATTATACATTATTTCATTGTTTCATATATTCAGTGTTATTTTCATTATTTAAACACTATTTAAATAACACTGTCTATGGGCATTTTTTATTCATGACATATTTACCATGGATATTTTAGAAAGTAAAGAGATCTTTCAAACTAAAGTTCCTAATTTTATCAACGTCAATAAATATGGACAAATTTGAATGCTAATAATTATTCGTATTTTTATAGTCATTTATGTTGGATACACAATAATAAATATTTACCATAAATTTCACTTCAAATAAACTATCTTCCTATTTTATTGAATTTATTAATAATTTGAGATTCGTTTGGCCTGAAATTAACGTGAAGGATTGAAGAATATTCGATTATAATAATATATAATTCATAAATTAGGTATTAAATTTAAAAAAAAAGTATAAAAATAAAACTTTCTAGTTTGATATTGTTTGCTATTATGTGTTAATGATAATTCAGTTTAAAATTATTATTTCATTTATATTTTAATTTCTGAAATTTATTTTACATTTAAATATTAAAAATATTAGAATAATAGTAACAATAATTACGGCTGTTATGTATCATAATATTATTTATTCGGTTTATAATTTATGGTATAACGTATTTTGTTACAATTTGGAGCTTCAAAATCTATAAAAAATAATATTCACACGATTTTGATACATTTATTTTTTCAAATCGTGAAATTCTATCCCACGTTCAACAAGTCGAAAATAATATTACCAGCTTTTTACTTTTACATAATATGACATTTCACTCGAGGGAATTCATTCAACCACTATTTGGAGTTGCTAAAAATATCAATATGCCCACATCAGGAAAGTACCAAATTTGATACATCAGAGCAATATTTTTGATAGAAATTTTGTATACAACAACATAAAAAAAGACAGACTTACTACGCAAGTGGGTGCTGCCACTGTTGTAGGTGGGAAGTTGGGATGGTAGGAT